CTGGGTTCAGGGGAGCTGATTGCAGAAAATGTTTCCAGCGAGTTGACCCTGTTACAGCTCTGAGCGCCAGCAGGACAAGAGTTGATTGCTCTGGCCCTTAAGGTCTCCGGGCCCCCCATACACACAGCAGCCCCAGGAGACAGACTGGCTTTGGTGAGGTCCAGTGAGGGGTCCTGACCGGTGTTAATAAAACAACCAAATAACTCAGGAATGGTTGTAACATAAACAAGCAGCTCACAGGAGACAAGCCCTCGTGGGCGTGGGGTTGCCGCTAGCCACCGAGGAGCACACTTAAGAGCCCCTCCCCTTCCCCATGGATGGGGTCGTTGCTGGCAGGGAACTGGGACTGCGCGTGGTCAGTGTGAAGGGCAAAGGGGCAGCCCCTGTGGAATAGGATGCCAAAGACGCAGGGTGCAGACCCCAGGGAGATGCCCCTCTGCCCACCAATGTCTGCGTGTGTTGGGTGCAACCCCTGGGGGTCTGGGTGATGCTGGAAGAAGGATAGAGGAGGTGAAAGATGGAATTTATCAAAAGAGTAATAAGCCTGTTACTTAGGAAGAGGAGATGAAATTCATCTGCCCTGTCACCTCCCGTGCTTGGAGTTGTGAGCCAACCGGGGCCCCCTCCCCCTGGGGAATGAGCTGCGGGCCTTCCTCCCAGGCCACCTCACCCCCAGGCACCCACCCCCGCCCCAGGCTGAGTCTCCCGTTCTGCTGACCCCGGGCAGACGGGGAGGACTCTCAGGCTGGCTGGCATCCTCTCGCCCAGGCAGCTGTCCTGGAAGAGGGAGGCCGTGGGCACATGCAGAGTGGGCATTTCTGGCAGAGTTTGTATTTTGGCTCTGATGGCAAGTTACGTAAGGAGCCTTAGCATCAAGAATGATGGGCGGTGGGGGGGGGGTGGGGGCGCCGGTCTTCCTTTTTTGTTGTTTTTTAAGATTTTTTTTGATGTGGACCATTTTTAAAGTCTTTATTGAATTTGTTACAATATCGCTTCTGTTTTAGGTTTTGATTTTTTTGGCCATGAGGCATGTGGGATCTTAGCTCCCCGACCAGGGATCGAACCCACACCCCCTGCAGTGGAAGGTGACGTCTTAACCGCTGGACCACCAGGGAAGTCCCAAGAGTCATGCGTTTATCAGGTAAACACGTGGGCTTGGGTTTTCTCTTCTGTTGTCTCTTCAAAGAATCCCAGTCAAGCACAGGTGACCCCAGAGAACCAAGGGCCATCTCCCCCAAGGCCGTGCTTCACCTTCGGCTTGCCCCCGTTAGAAACCCCCTTCGTGATTTACCATCCCTATTAGAAGATGGGGAAATGAAAGGAGTTTATGTTTAAAAATCAGTTTTACTTTTGTAGCTGTCAAAACATGGATAAGGCCTTGAACTGGATGGAGCTTTGGGGGTGTTTTGCTTGTTTTTTACCAGGATCCAGTTACCCCGACGGTGCCTTTATTCAACAAGGTGTAGCCTGGGCCGCTGCTGTGCACCTGGCACTGTCCTCAGCATGGAGAACACAGTGAGGAAAAAGACAGAAGACTCCTTTCCCTGCGGAACGAAGGTTTGTAACAGTGGGAGACAAACGGACTAGACCAGGAAGATACGGAATCAAGGCAAGTCCAAGGGAAGAGGAGCCACGAGGGGGCGCAGTGACCTGACAGGTCTCAGGACATCCAGCACTAAGAAAGTCACTCTCCCAGACCTGCCGAGTCGGCACCTGCGTGGGAGGGTGTGAAGGTCTGGTCCCCACCTCAGCGGGAGGGAGGCGAAGCCCAGGCCGGGTGTTGGACTGTGTGGATTCTGGGTCCTTCTGGCGTCTCCTCCCACCAGGCACTGCTCCAGCCACAGCCTGAACACAAGCCACCCAGAAATCCTGCTTGAGTTTCTGCATTGGTGCCGGACTCTCACATTCCAAAGGCTCCTTGAAGCGGCCGAGGAGTGAGAAGGGCCCTCCAGCGCACGGCCCCGCCGCCAGCTCCTCGCCTGGGTGCCAGGCCGCCTGGGCCCCCTTTCCACCAGCAACTCCTGGGGAGGCTGGGACCTGGGGAGAGGACCGGGTTTATTTTAAACTTGAAATTGAAGGTTACTCTTTAACGATGACAAAACAGGCCCCTCCAATTCTCGGCTGCCAAGTCAGTGTCCTAAATAAGAAACCAGCGGGCACTCCTTTCCCGTTTTGCTTTTCGGGGAAGGAAGCCACAGCCCAAGGAGGGAGGGAGGTACCTGCCTGGCTGCGGGCAGCCTCCACCTCGCCCGCAAGAGTCAGGGAGGCCAGCGAGGCTGCAGCAGCTCCCCAGCCTGCCTTGGTCCAGGGCCGGGGGCGGCTCTTTTAAGTAAAAGTTTGGAAAATTTGGGAGCTGCAGGAAAATATGGAGAAAAAAGTGAAAGCGGTCATCTTGCCTCTCAGCGCTGTCTTTATTTATTGAATGCTGCTGTTTTAGTCGGGCCCGACTTCCATTCCTTCCTCACTCTCGGACATGTTTATACAGCACGTGGCACGTTGCAACTTGTTTTCCTGTGGGTTTTGTCTCTCTTCTTTACCCACGTCCAGTGAACTGGGAAGGAAAAAAAAATCCTTATCGCCTTGGAGCAGAGACGAGGGTGAAATGACTTGCCCAGGTCAGCTGGCTAATGGGTGGCCTTGTTAGGATGAAATTGCCCACCAGAAAAATGTTAAAACGGAAGGTGGGTGCCGTGGGGGTCTGTGATGCTGTGCGGTGTCCACTGAAACGGCAGTTACAGAAAACTGGGAGCACCTGCTTCTCAGACGTGGAAGCAGATGCGATGTGGGTGCTGCCCGTGTGTTCCCAAGGTTACTCAGTGCATTCCTGACTGTTCCAGCTTCTTTGCTGCAAAGCAAGTGACACCAGAACTTAGGGGGCAGGATTCTGTGGGTGGCAGGGCTCTGCAGGTCTGGCTCATCTCTGCTCCACAAGGCGTCTGCCGGGGCAGAACCACCAAGACGGGAGGCCCTTCAGCTCCTCGGTGTGGACAACCCAGGCCCACTAAAGAGAGTTCCTGGGTCGCTCGTTAAAAATTCCGGACCTACTGATTCAGAAATTTTTCTCAGGAGGGAATTCCCAGAGAATTCTGAAGCCCAGGAAAGTTCGAAAACCACTGTCCCAGGAATGACAGTCCCGGGCTCCTGCCCGTCGGCTGTGCCGTCAGGAACACCGAGGCCGTCGTCTGGGCTGGAATAACTCTGAAATCTAGGAAATGCGCCAGGACCTTCCTTCCAACACCCCGCCTGCCCTCTTCTCCAGCCCGTGTAGCTACCCACCCACCTGTAGCGGCACAGGGACCCCACCGCACCCCGGAACCAGGCCCGGGCCCAGGAAGCGAAGCTGCGTGAGTGCTGCATGGGCCCGACCGCAGCTCTGAGTTCTAGGAGCAGGCGCCTCCCTCCTGGACCTCCGGGCCCCTGTCTTCTGATACCTGCTTGGCCCTTTGCCAGAGCTGGCCGGCAATTGCGGGACCCGGAGCAAAACGAAGACGTGGGGTTGGGGGGAGCCTTGTTCGAAACGCAGGGAGAGCCTTTCTCCTTTCCTCTCTCTCTCCTCCCCACCTCCGTGGTGTTTCTTGTTTGCTGTTTAAGATGGGCTCCCTCGGGCACGGGGACCCTGGCGGGGGGCAGGTGCGCCCAGGCGCCCGGGGCCTCACTGCAGCCCCTGGGCGGACCGTACACACCCCCCGCGTCCCGACCAGGCCTCCCCCAGGACCAAGGGGCCGCGGCCTCCGGGGAACGGTGGGGAGCCGGCGTCCACCGGGACGGCGGGAGATGGCTAGAGGCATCCCCAGAGCTGCCTAAGCAACACCTGCCTAAGCACCCCCACCCCTCCCCAGGGGCCCAGAACCCAGGGCTGTGTGTCAGCCGACTGGCCGCGGGTCGCTGGCAGCTGTCCCCCAGCCTCAAGCGCCCGCTTATTTCTCCCCGGGCTCTGCACAGTCGCAGTGGCCGGGAGCTGCCCGCCGTCCTGCCGTGTCCTTCACAGCCCAGCCCCACCCCTGGTGACAGTACCATCTGCCCCGGGTGGCCTGTGCCCTGTCCCCCGGGACGCCGTCCTCCCAGCTCTGGGCCTCAGGGCCCTACCAGGCAGCAGCAGGGCCGGCGGCCTGGCCCACGTCCTTCTGGAATCTTCCAGATCATTCCCACCTGCTTTCCCTCCCCGCTCACCAGCACCAGGGCCCAGCCCTGCTCCCCCTGAGGTTAAGTGCTGACTCTCCAGAGTTTGGATCCTGCCGGAGAAGGGGGGGGCTAAAGGTGCCCACATGGTGACCCTGAGTGAAGGGACAAGGAGCCCGTCAGCCTCAGTGGGAGTGGAGCCTGGAAGCAGAGGCAGCGGGGTGTGGGCAGAGGTGGGTGGAGGCGTGGCGTGAACAGGAAAGGAGGGAAGCACCTCATCTTTACTGAAACTGAATTGCACCCGAGCCAGTTTTTCCTGTTACGTATTGTCTTTTTTTTTTTTTTTTTCCTTAAGACTAGTTTTAGGTTTACAGCAAAACGGAAAGGAAGGTTTTACTCTCTGTCCCCACCGGCCCCATCCTCACACCCGCAGCACGCCGGGGCGGGGGGCGTCCACTACAGCGGATGAGCCTGCACGGCCCCTGTCCCTGTCCCCCGGAGGCCGCGGTTGGCACGAGGGCTCACTCTCGGTGGCGGACGTCCTGTGGGTTTGGACAAACGTCCACGACGTGGATCCGTCATCACAGTAGGTGACAGACTAGTTTCACTCCCCCCAAGTCCTTGGTGCTCCACCTTGTCATCCCCCCCATACCGCAGGGTTTTTTAAGATTTTGTTTAATTGGGGGAGAAAGAAAGGAGCCAGAAAGGCGTGCGGATTGGCTTCCAGGAGGTGAGCTTCCCATCGATATCACGCTGATCTCCAGCCCCGGAGGGAGGCTGGAAGCGGGGCGGGGCTGGGAGGGGCGAGGCGGGGCGGGTGGGGCGAGGCGGGGCGGGTGGGGCGGGGCGGGGAGGGCCCGGGAGGCACGTGGTGGGTGGATCCCTCTTTCCTTCGCTCAGGCATCACCTGCGGGCGCCCGGGGCCTGCGGAGCCTGGTAGGAAGCCGCAGGGTGAGGGAGGTGCAGACTCCGCTGCCTCGGGGTCTGGGGGGGCCCTGGGGGGACGGAGGCGCAGGCCAGTCGCCCTCGGAGGGGACGACGCCGTTGAGTGGCCCGGGCCGGGGCGCTGGCGGGGACAGCGAGAAGCGCACGTGAGCCCGCGGATTAGAGCTGTGGTCGAGAGCGCGGTCCTGGAGGCAGGAGGGGGTCGATGAAGGTCGATTGTCGGATCAGAGCTGGTTCTAGAAACATCCCGCGGCGGAGCGCAGGGCGGAGCGGAGCCGGGAGTCCCAGGGAGGAAATGGCTGAAGTCGTCCGGACCCAGGTGAGGGGGTTGGAGGGGGATGGAGGGGTGCAGCGGGGCGCGGGCGCCGCGGGGGGACGAGGCGCCGGGGTGCAGGTCGGTGCGGCCACCACGGCAGCCGGGGGGCCGGCCAGGAGCTGGTCGCTGGGCCTGGAGGCCGTGGGCTCATCTTGTTCGAGGAGCCTTTGATGGCAAAAAGGGACAGAAGCCAGCTCGGACCGGCTCATGCAGACATGGGACAGTGTTAGTGGCTGCACCGGGAGGGCTCCTGGCGCTCGGCGGTGCAGGCACCCCAGGGCCGGTGCTAGAGCCGCCTTCTCCGCGCTCTGACCCCCGTCCGCCCCCCTCCTGTTCCCCAGCTCAGCCACTCCTCTGCTCCTTTTCACCAGGGACCCAGGAGTGACCCGTTCTGGCCGGAGCCTCATGCCCACCTCTGGTTCACATGCCAGTATTGGAGCAGAGGGCCAGTCGGCTGTCCCTGAGCTGCCCGGATGGAAAGTTCCGCAGAGGAGGACTTGGGGATGGGGCTGTCGCCAGGAGCAGGGGGAGTTTGCGGGGCCCACTGCGGGCGTCCAGTGGGCAGGCATCCAGGTGGGGCGTCTGCAGCTCAGGGGACAGGTGAGCGCTGCAGCCGGATTTGAGTTGTGTAGGAGCTGAAGCTCTGGGGATCACTGAGGTCATTGGGGAGGGGGAGAGAGAGAAGAAAGGGGGTTCCAAGCAGCTTTATGGGGTTACCCCTGGGGCAAAGAAACCACGCTCCCTGTGCCTGCAGAGCCGCGAAACGGCACTCTCTGGCCGTGCAAAAAGATTAACCTACTTCGGGGGGGGGGGGGGGGGGGGGGGGGGGGGGGCGCTGTGGTGTGTGTGTGTGTGTGTGTGTGTGTGTGTGTGTGTGTGTGTGTGTGTGTGCGCGCGCGATCAGGCAGGGCTCACAATCAGCCCATCTCTCGATAGCAAACACCTGTCTCTTCCTCCCTGTGCCCACCGTCGCTCGGGCCCACACACCCGATGGGGCACCCCCCAGTTGGGCACTTGCTTGGTTCTTTTTATATGGTGGAATGTATTTGTCCTTTTTCCCCATTTCTTTTGTTTAGCTGAGCTGTGTCTCCTCAGCTAGACTGGAGGACGCGTGGGGCAGTTATCCTGTGTCCCCTCCAAACCTCAACCCGGCGCCTGCACGTTGGGGTGTGCGTTTTGCAGATGGGGACAGAGCCCGGGTGGGCAGGTCCTGCGGCCATGTTGTCTGGGACACAGTTTTGGGTCTCATCCGTCAAGCAGGTCAGCGCCAGGACTGGGGCTTCTGCCCGGGCCACGTGGACATGCGAGTTCTCAGTGAATGAGTCCACCCACTGGCGGGGGGGCAGGGGACATATGCTGTGGCTCCGACCTTCGCAGGTGCTGCGCGTGGCAGGCCGGGCTTCTCCCTGGGCGGCTCATTACGGTCACCTGGGGACTGTTCCATCTGGCGATGGGGCCTCACCTGAGGCCCATTAAACGGTCTCTGGGGGGTGGGGCTCCACGCGGAGAGATTTTAAAGCTCCCCGGAGCTTCCTACTGTGCCGAAGGCTGGACCTGCCCAGCCTAGAGTGTCCTGAGGGCGACACGGGGACAGCTGATGGGATTCGGAGCCAGACAGACCTGGGTTCAAATCCCAGCCCCACGGTGACTCGGCTTCTCTGGATTTGATGTCTTTATCTCCAGAATGGGTGTTAAGTACCCATTTCCCAAAACATCAGGTACCTACAGAGCTTCAAGTGCATAGAAGCCACCTAAAATAATAGTCCCCAGGCCTCCCTGAGACCTGAGGCCTTCACCGAGTAGACCCTCAGCTTCTGTACCAGGGACATGTGGGGAGAGGGAGGCCCTTCGAGGGTGCCGTGACCGGGGCGGTGGCAGCCGTAGTCACACGGAGCTGGGGACGGAAAAGCCTTCCTCCTCCTTCTAATTATAGAGGAAAGGCTTCATAGTCTCCCGGACATAACCTCTGTGGGTGCTTCCACACGCTACGCAAAATTGTCATCCATCATCTATTCATTTGGAGACTTTCCATTTTCTGAAAGGCAGTGGGGACCCTGAGTCGGGGAGGGGGCATCGCAGCTGGGACTGCTGCTGCCAAGCCTGCGCCGCGTCCCTCCCTCCGACAGTGGCTCCCCACCCGAGCGCTGGCCTGGCGGGGCCTGGGCTCCTCTGCGGTCCGCGAGGAGCCATCGAGGGAGGCGGGAGACGCCAGAGGCCCAGGGCGTGGGTGAGGGGCGCTCGCTGATGAGGGTCCTGGTTTGCCTTTGGAGTCCCAGGGGTGCTGGGCAAGGCCTTCTGCATTGTCACACTGCAGGGTTGGCGTCGGCTGGGAAGCTCTGGACCCAGGGTTTAATTTTGTGTTGATACTAGAGTTAGAGGCTCACCAAAAAGCTGCTTAGAAATCTAAAAGTTTCTGCCAATGCTACATGTTTATCTGAAGATAAAGCTAATTGGACCACGAGGAAAGGAAGGGCAGCTTCAACTTGAGAGATGGTACTTAGACAATCAAAGCCCTTAACCATGTATATGATCAGGGTCATAGCTAAGGAAATGCTGCCTGTTATGGGCTGAATTGTGTCCCCCCCAGCGCCTCGGAATGTGACCGTATTTGGAGAGGGGCCTTTCAAAGGGTGATTAAGTTAGGGTGACCCTAATCTGATCTGACTGGTCTTCTTATAAGAAGGGGAAGTTTGGACCCAGACACCAGGGATGTGTGTGCACGGTCCGTGTGAGGACATGGGGAGAAGATGCCCATCTATGCGCCAAGGAGGGGGAGGCCTCGGGAGGAACCAACTCTGCCGACGCCTGGATCTCAGACCTCCAGCCTGCCCGGCTGGGACCCCTGGGCAGCGTGGCTCGGGTGCCTCACTTTCAGATCCGGGAGCACCAGGCATTTCGTGATTGTATTGAGCGCCGTGCTCCTGGGCCTGAGACCTGGGATGGGTGTGGAGAGAAGGAAGGTGCAGCTGGTCATATCCGAGTGCCCCAAAGATCACGACCATCTGCTCCCCAGAGCCTGAGAAGAGCCATGGGGCTTCTTTCGCTCTGGCTGGAATCTTCCAAACCTGTGTCCCAGCTGCAGCCTCACCCACCGGGGAGCTTATCAGCAAAGCAAACACCTAGACTCCAGGGCGGAGGCGCAGTGTGGGAGAGAGTTAGCAGCCTCTCGGGGGCCCGACGTGCTCTGAAGTGTCTCTTGGCTCGGGAATGACCCCGACGCACCCACCCCCTGAAAAGCACTGCCTGGCCCCCTGTCACCCCCTCCCCTCAGCGAGTCTCAAACTTTGAATCCACCTGTAGAGTTTGTTTGAAAATGCAGATCCCTGGGCCAAGCTCCCCGAGACTCTGCTGTAGGTCTGGGGGATGTTCCAGGTGATTCCACACGTGAGGTTTACGGGCCACCCCTGAGATGCGCTTCCTCCGTGCGAGTGTGTCTCTGCACGTCCCCCCTGCTCTGCTATTGCAGGCTCAGCTCAGAGCATCTCCCCCGACAGTCCCACGCCTCTCGTGCCCCCCTCCCAGTCCGCCCCCGGCCCGGCATGCTCTTCCCGCACAGTTACGGCCTGGCTGGTGCAAAGGCAGGAACCAGGGACGGTCCTGTGCATCCCTGACCCCCGGGGCCTGGCACTCAGCAAGAGGTGGATGCTTGTGGGTAGCCTTTCAGTTCAATTTATTTCCATCCAATTCGGTTCAGTGCAGTTCAACTCAGTTCACGTCAGCATAAGAGCCAGTTGTGAGCCCAACACACAGACGCGGGCCTCCGCTTGGGGGAAGGGCCCCGTCACCTGGGCGCGTGCCCACACGAAGCATCACTCATCCCCGCCCGGCTCGTCTCTGAACATCCCCTTAGTTGACACCGGCGGCCGCTAAGGTGTGTGTTCCAGCCACCACATCACGGGCTGGCATCCTGCCCGGGTCACCGTCCCCGTGACGGGGAAGCGCAGGCCAAACGGAGGACCCGGCGGCGTGGGTCCCCGGGTTCACGCGTCCTCGCCGCTGGGGACCGTGGCCCATCCTCCCGCGGGCAGAGGACGACACCGCACAGCAGCTGCTCCGCAGAGGCCGCTGAGCCCTGCTGCCCAGCCAGCCCGGCGGTGGCTCCTCCGCAGAGCCCGCCGAGGGGCCAGCCGAGGGGCCAGCGCCGCCCCAGCCTTCACGAGGAGCAGAGCGGTGCAGGAGCGGGCCGGCGTCTTTCTGCAGCAAGCAGCCTCGGTGGCGGGGCCCCGCCGCGTGGCGAGCGGTGGCAGCGCTGCGGGGCGGCTGGCGACATCAGTGCGCCTCCCCCTTCCTGCGTCTGAAACAGCAAAGGGAGACGGTCAGCTCCTGGGCGGCCTCCCTGCGGGGTCGGGGGCGCAGGGAGGCCGGGGCGAATGACAAAAGCCCCAGAGAATCCCCTTCCCCCCACCCCGCCCCCCATGAAGAAACAAATGGAGAAGTCTCGGATTGGGATCCACTTTCTAAAATTAGTCTATTCTGCGACTCCCAGAAGAAATCGTTATTGGGATTTAGTCAGACTTTCATGCTATGAGAATCCGGCATGAAGCGAAGCCCGAAGCGTAGCCATGCTCCAGGCGTAAAGCAGAAACGCGCCCAGGCTCGTGCGGAGAGGTTTGGGGGGCTCTGCTCTGGACCTAGAGCGGCTCCCAGAGAGTCTCACTCATTCTTTCATTCACTCAGCGGACCTTTGTGGAGCACCCGCTCTGTGCCAGGTCTGGACTGGGAGCCCGAGGGAGGGCAGGGCGGCCGGTGCCCGGGGCGTGATGGGCCAGGCCGCTGACCTAGCCCCGGTGCCGGGCGTGGGGAAGCTTCCCTCGAGGAGGAGGGGCCGGGAAAGCACGCAGGGCCCCACCTTTGCCCGCGGTCCGAACCCACGTCCCAGGGATGGACAGGAAGGGCCGGGAGCCCTGCCGCGTGGCTCCTAACAAAGGGCGTGACCTGAGCCCAGTCACGAGGACGCAGCACACAAGGCCCGCACTGCCTCAAGGCGCCCATGTCCTGAAAGG